CTCGTCCTACGCCGCGTCCAAACGCGTGCTGGACTGAGCAAGCTCTCACCAATGTGGGAGGGTCCGTATCGAGTGATCGGTGTCCCCCGGCCGGGCTCCGTTCGGCTGGCCACGGGCGACGGCGCAGAGCTGCCTAACCCGTGGAACATCGAACACCTTCGTCGCTTCTACCCCTAGTGGGGGTCGGGCGTCATGTCTCGGGCTCGGGCCAACCCCGCACCCCCCGGGCGTGCAGGGTTGGCCGGGGGCTACCACATGCATATCCTTATCTTTTTTCTCTTCCGTATTTCAATAAAAGCATTTTCGATTTCCTGAGGACTGTGCCTGTGCCATCGTTTCCTTTTGAAGAATCTTGGCTTGAGTTAGCACGCTCGTGCTCGACCCTGCCCTCGGTGGCCCGGGCCGGCTAAAATCGCCAAACGAGGCCCAGAACCGAGCCGTGCCCCGGGGCGTGGTGAACTCCGGGGGGGGAATCGGCAAAGGCCCACAATCGGGTCATCCATAACCCTCGGTCACCACGCTCCCGGCCTGGCCAGTCTCGACATGCGGATCTCCCCAGGCACTAGCCCCCACCCGCGCCGCTTGAGGTTGGGACCTGGGCACGAGCCCTCGTTCAAGCCAAGACACAGAAGGACCGCGGCACAGACCATCCTCGTCTCATACACACAACAAACATAACTGACGCAGAAATTTCCTCTTTACTTGATTACAGATTAAATCAGTCTATACAAGAAGGGGGCCCGAAGGCCTCGGAAGAAGAAGGAAAAGCTATTAAGATTGGCGGGGGCCTGGGGGCTCACTCCGGCGCCCCCGGGCCGTCGGCCTCGTCGCCACTGTCGTCCGCACCGTCGTCACCGCCCTCCTCGTCGGAGTCGAGCGCGAACGCGAGCCGAGGGGCCGTACCCTCGAAGCTGTGGACGATGTAGTCGGCGGCGTCCCGGACCCGCGCGCGCGCGCCATCCTCGGTTCCGGGAGGGAACTCTTCCAGCGCTGCCCACGGGGAGAAGTCAGGGTCCCTGGCCTGGTAGCTTGCCAGTACGAGCTCCACCGCCCCCGGGCGAGGTCCCTCGAGGATGACTTGATCGTCTCCTCGAGCTCCTCGGGGAGCCGCTGGAGGGCCCCAGCCATCTCTGAGAGGCGCTGGGCGAGGCCCCCCTGGTTGGCGGCGTACTTCGCGTGCCGCCCGCCCCAGAGACCCGCCTGCCGCCCGGCGCGGTCTAGACGGGAGACGGCGTCCCGAAGCATGCCGGGCCCTACCTCGCTCGCCAAGCGGAGGGCCTCGACCTCCCCAGCGGACGAGTCCAGCGCGCCCTGCAGCTCGGCGATGGTGTGTTCGGCGGCTGCGAGGCGGGCGGCTAGGTCGCTGTGGCCCGCGGCCGCCCCGCCGCTGTGCGCCCTCGTGTCCAGCTCCTTCGCCTGCGCCTCGAGCTCAGCGGCCCGCTGATCCAGTGCGGCCCTCTCGGCGCGGGCGCCTTCCAGATTGCGGCGCGCCTGCTCCTCCCGCGCTGCCTCGCGGAGGAACAGGCTGTCCGCCAGCCGCTGCGCCGCGGCCTCGGCCTCCTCGAGAGCTCGCTCCCGTTCGGTGAGCGCGTCCTCGCGGAGGCGGAGTGCGGACTCTTCTTCGGCGCAGGCGGCCTCGTGCGCCGCCAGTGTTGCCTCCCGGGTGGCGACGGCGGCCTCGCGGTCCGCCAGGTCTCTCTCCTTCGCGTCCAGGGCGCGGGCACGCTCCTCCAGCGCCGTGGCGCGAACCTCAAGGGCCTCTTCGCGCTGGCGGGACGCCGCCTCTTTCTCCGCCGCCCGCCGTTCCCGGGCAGCGGCGACATCAAGGACTCCCCGGGCGGCGTCGAGCTTCTCCTCCAGCTTCGCCGCCCGGCTCCCGTATTGGAGGCGGAGGTCGTTCCGCGCCTCGTCGAGCACGGCGGTGGCGATGAGGGCAGTCTCCCGCTCCTCCTCCACCTCCCTGGCAATCTCCGCCAGCTCCCTACGACGGGCCTTGAGCTGTGTGGTCTGCCGGTGGTGCGCCTTGCGGCCCGCCTCCACCATGGCCTCCACCGAGCGCCGCCCCTCCTCGACGCGCGCCCACGCCGTGTCGAGCTCCGCCCGCTCCGCCTGCAGGGCCTCCATCTGGGCACTTAACCCGTCCAGCACCGTGCTGTTCGTGGCGGCCAAGGCCTGCAGGAAGGGCTCCGCGCTCAGTGGGGCAGCGGAAGACAGAGGGGAGAGCCGCCTCGGTGTGGGCGCCGCGCGGCTCGGCCCGCCGATCGACGTGCCGGACTCGGGGGCGTCCCTCGAAGCTGGCTCGTCCCAAGTGTCGCCCAAGGGGTCGGGCCCGAGCGGCGTGCCCGCGGCCTCGTCGTGGGTGGCCTCGGAAGTTGTCGTCCCCTCGGGCGGAGTCGGGTCGAGGGTTTGGCAGGCCGCCTGGCGTGCGCGCGCCGCCTCTGCCTCCCGGACGGACTCCCCGGCCCGGCGGAGTCTGGCCTCCTCCCGAGCGGCCACCTCAGCCTGGCGAACCCGGACGGCCTCCTGGGCAGCCTCCTCGGCTTCTCGGAGACGGTCCGCGGCTTCTCGCCGGTCAGCTTCCCGCCTCCGGGCCTCCGCGGTCGCCGTCTCCTCGGCCTCAGACCGGCCGGACTTGGAAGGGCGGGGGGGGGGGGGGGGAGGGGCGACGGGATCTCGCTGAGGCGGAAGAAAAACCAGAAGACAAAAAGAAACGGGTGAGTGAAAACTTGCCTTGGGAGACGGGAGAATGAATATGGCCGCGATGGGCGCGGGGACGAACCTGCGGGGAGGTCGGCTAAACGACCACCTCGGGGGCGAGATGAGGTTCCCCCGGCATGGCACAATCCCCCCCATCTTGCGGAGCCGTTTCTTCTTTCGCTCCCCCTCGGGCTGCGGCGTCGGCACGGCACCCTCCGGGCGCCTGCTGCTGGCACGCACCGCCCCGTCCCCTCGGGGAGATGGGGGAGGGGTGCCCTCCTGCTTCCTCTTCCCCCGGGCGTCGGCAGGGCGGCTGCCCCCCGGGCCCCCGTCGCGGGGCCCAGAAGCACGACCTTCTCCCGGGGTAGATTGTTCCCCCCTGCGGCTCCCGCCCACGCCATCGTGGCCTCGGGGGGCCCGCTCCCCCGACGCCCCGACCTACTGCATGATGGTCAGGATGTTGGCGCGCTCTGGATCGCAGCAGAGGGGGAGGACCCCTTGGGGGATGAGGGATGCCTCCACGGAGCTGAGATTAAGCACCCGTTGGACCACCATCCTGAAGTCCTCAGGGTCCCAGTCCCATTTGCGCCCCTGGTGGGTCCTCATGACGTCCTCGGGCCCGGTGTACTCCCAGGCGCCCCGGGCGCGCCGCTGGAGCGGCGTGATCCGGCGACGAAGGTAGTCGCCGAACACCATGGCCCCCGTGAGCCCCTGGGATCGCAGACCCGCCAGGCGGTCAAGAACGGCGTCGTAGCCGTCTCCCAGATCTACCGCCGCCCGCCAGCTGGAGGCTTGCGCCGGAGGCTGGTTCGGAAGTCGGAGGCGCGCTTCGTCGGCGAGGGGGGTGTAGAACCAATCGCTCTTCCAGTCGTCCCACTTTTTGCGAACGACGCAGGGAATGTAGCGGTTCAGCACCTGCCCCCACGGCTGGAAGTAGCAGCCACCGACTACCGTCGGCGGCGACACCGGCTGTGCGGTGAAGAACCACCGGAACAGCCGGAGAGACGGGTGTACCCCGATAAACATCTCGCACAAGTGCGCAAAGATGGCCAATGTCATTATCGCGTTGGGGGTGAGGTGTGCCATCTGGAGATCATAAAACTCCAGAATATCCATGAAAAAAATAGAGAATGGCGGGACCAGCCCCGCCATTGCGAAAGAGAGGAAGAAGACGGACCGCCCCGGGTAGTGTGGCGCCGGGCGTCCCTCGCCCAGCGCGACCACCTCCCGGCCGGTGGCAGATTCCGGCTTGAATCGGCGCGGCAGCCCGGCCTGCCTCTCGCTCACGATGCGGGAAAGCGGCAGCACGCTACCCTCGAGCGGTGCGGAGCCCCGTGCCATGACGCCGGCGGAGGAGGAGCTTGAGAGCGAGCGAGTATGGCAAGGTTAGGGCGCAGGAAACGGAGAGTCAGAGCACAAGTGGCGAAGGCAAGGGGGAGAGTGGCGAGAGGAAGGAAACAAATCCCTTCCTTGGCGTCTTTGTACCCTTGCCAACGCTATGCCCGGCTCCTCGCTTCCCGCACCCACTACCTCGCCCCCTCGTTTCTCGCGCCCGCGCCTCCACTAACCCCACTCGCCCGTTTGCGGCGCACGCGATAGATGTGCGGCCGTGGCGTTTGAGATGGGGCAGATCGTGCGCGCATTAACCGCGCTCGCCAACCGCGAAAAACGCCATCATCATGTCCCCAGGCGAAACAAACCGGCTCGTCCCGATTCGCGCGCTGCTCGAGTAATGTAGCGGTCTTGAAGAGGCCGCTCATTATTGTCGATCGGTTTCTCCCTTGCCGATGCGCGCGATTTGCGACCGTTGGGTTTCTGCCTGCCTGTGGGGACCGGCCCCACCTGTCACCGGGCCTAAGGAGTGGCATCATGCCCGATCGCCTCCCTCGAGGGGGGCGGTCGCCCTGGCGTGACGCCGGGGGCTACTGTCGGTGACATGGGGCCGGGGGTATCGTGACTAGAGGCTTGGGTAGCCGCGATCACTCACGTGGCCCGACCCCCTCGGGGGGGTCGGGCCCGACGGTGACGTGGCCACCTCTCCCTCTGTCTCCCCGAGGGGTCGGGCCGCTCCTGTTTCGGCCCCGAGGGCTGGGGCACCCCGACCCCCTGTGGTGATTGGCGCCACGTGTGTGGGTTAGGTGAGCACAGCGGCGCTCACTTAACCGCATTTATAGCGGGTTAGACGAGCGCGTCACGCCGCATTCAATGCGGCGCAGCGCATGCTTATCCGATCTGTGACCAGTCGCGGTATGTGACCGGTCACAGACCGGTCAGATCGCGGGTTAGGTGGCAACAGGCGGCCTGTCGCACGCCTCGCCCCGTCCCGTCGGAATGATGAGAGCTTCCTGGTTCTCGTCTCTAGCCGGAGCTGGCGTGCTGACTCCTGGAGTTGGTATGTCAGTCCTGGTCAGATCCATTCCAGGCTTCAGTGCAAGCATGGCAAGAAAATCGCTGGCCATTGAATGAAGGATGAAACGGGCGTCCACCGGGAGAGCTGACGAGCGGAGCAGGAGGCGTGTGTACTGCTTGTCAGAGGTCATTTCCGGCTGTAGATTAGCCCTCATTGTAAAAAGCATGTTTCTTTTCTTAGGCAGAGAGAGGCCCATGTGGTGACCCCTAACCAGATAAAAAAAGGAGGCCCAGGCCTAAGGAGACAAAAAAGGGGGGGGGGAGGTGAGAGGCTGGCCACTTGATCGGAGAGCCTGAACTCTCTCTCGCTCTCGAGCTCTCTGGCTCTGGAGCTCTCTGTTTTCCTTCACACACAGATCCACCAGAACACAGGAGTAGGGTATTACGCTTCTCAGTGGCCCGAACCTGTCTACGTGGCCCGTGTCTTGTGCGCTTCTTCTCGCTGACATTCCTCAGATCGAGGGCGAAGAACCTCACTTAGCGCCCCCGGCCGAACCGGCAAAGGGGGGCCTGCGCGGTCTCCCGGTGAGGAGCCCCACGCTCCGTCAACGATTTACTCCTATCGCACGCCTCAACCACCCACCTTTATTCGAGTAAACGATTTACTTTGATAATAAAAACAACTCCCCTGCTTCTGATCCCACCCCACGTCCCGCATCGTGCTCCGACCATTATTGGAGTAAATGATTTACTTCGATAAAAACAACTTTTCTGTTTTCGGTATATATTCTATTTTTCCCGTACCCAACCAACCACTCTCGCCTCACTTCCTTTTTTTTCTCTTTTTTTTGGATCTAAATCGATCCACCATCCCACCCCACAGATCGGCGACACACCATGGAGGAGGACGATGACACCGTGGCGGTTGATGGCGGTGGCCGGTGAGCGATGGCCGGCGGCGGTTGAGGCGAAGGCACTGCTTCGGGCCTCGTTGCCGGACGTTGGGCAGCACCTTAACCAGCAATAAGGTATTCACCTGGGCCAATAGCAACAACCAGCGGCTACTCCACCACGTCGGCGGCATTGATAGAATAAGCAAGTAAGGAAATGACACTTTGATTTGCATCTGCATACTCTCCTTCAACTTCATGCATGAAGCCCCAATATTTTTTTCAAATCAAATTAACGTGCAATCTCCAATATTACCTGATCTCAATTGATGGGCTGCACAGGTCCTACATTTGCACATCGTGCTCCATGTGGCTGGCCGTAGAGGATAGGGTGGAGTCCGTCGGTGATGTAGGTTGTTTGATATTTTTCTTTTGCTCGTCATCTCTATTGACATGAACGAGAATGTTTTTACATTTTTTCGTGCTTGCTAGATGATGGATGGCTGCGCAACGTCGGGCTCATCTCTATACCATACCGCTACATCCTTCTATTATTCCATCGTCGACTACTACTCGCTCCCTGGTTGCCCTCTCCACTACCAGTCTGTGTTACCAGTCAGAAGACACAGACTGTTCTCTTCATCCTTATAGCAAGATCCAGCAAAGCCACCAGATGGATTTTTAGCTGAATCATTTTTTTTCATTTCTAGTTTGATTCACCTGTGAGTAATTTTATCGCTTGTGTGTGATTGAGCCTGTAATTTTTTCACTTGTATGACTATTTTATGATACAGATCAACAATACTCTTAGTATCAATTTTTTACTCTTATACTGTACATTGAACATATCAGTAAACATATTACTATATGGTGGCTACGAGATCATGGCTATATCGAGAGGAAGGTGGTAATTGTTTTACTCGCAGACCAAGGAATCTCAGTTTTTACTCTTATACTATGTATTGAACACATCAGTAAACATATTACTACATGGTGGTTACGAGATCATGGGCTATATCGAGAGGAAGGTAGTAATTGTTTTACTAACATACCACAAAATCTAAACAATATTTATAATATTGGTAAAAGAACTACTAGCATTGTAAGCTGGTAGTAATTCTTTTACGACCATCTAGGTATGGCGTCATACGATGTGGAGACATTCATGTGAGTAAATTTGTTACTTTTAAATGAGCAGATGTGGGAGGCTGGGAGTAAATGAAAAACTCCACGGAGTAAATTCGTTACTTTTGAAACGTGCGGAGATACTAGAAAAATGGAAAACTCGGAAAGAAAAACTAGACGGTAAATATTTTACTAAAACGCGAAAACAGAAAAACTACAGAGAAGGAACCAAAAACAGAAAAATCTGGATGGTTAATATTTTAGTGGGCCCATTGATGAAGCACGGATGAGATGGAAAAGAGAAAAAGAAACACGGAAGGTGGAGTGGTAAAAAACGAAAAAAACGAACCGAGAAAAGGTGGGATGCGGAGGAAAGGTGGGGTGGTAAAAAAGGGAAAACCGGAAGGAGAGAGCGTTGTGCGGCACTCGAACTAATATTCCGCGCTGTAGAGCGCGGAATAGTGCTAATGGAATTTTTATCAAATCGAATTGGCGAGAAGATGAACAAGAGAGAGGATGGAGGAGGAAGAAATGCTAAGTTAGTCCAAAATTTCATTGTAAGGGCAGTGAGAGGCATATATCCAATATCTACAAGTTTATAATGGTATATATGTTCAAATATATAAATGGTAGTGTTATATTTCAAAACTACAAAAGTTACGATGACAAGCCTACCAGAGGAGGTGAATGGTAGATTATGTCAGCGGAAAACAAATAATCGAATCTTAATAGATTAAAAGTACACCCCAACCTCAAAAACCAATGGAATACACGTCCGGCGGTCTATCCGACCTACTAGAGTCGGTCTGACCAAAACCTAGCCGGTCTAACCGCAGGTCACTCGGCGGTCTAACCGTCAGCCCTAAAACCAGCACGACAACGCTTCTGTGAAAACTTGATCTCTCTTAAACCAACCATTAGATCGAGTTGCAGACTCGATAGAATAAACTAAATAAACTAAGGAACAACTCCACCTGAGAGATTTGCAAACTATAAACGGTTTAAGAGAAAACACCCTCGAAAGTCAGCTGTCTCAGAATTTTAGCAAATCTGAACTAAACCTAAAACTTAAGCAAATTCGAATCTAGTAAGAACCAATCAACGAAACTTTCCAGATCTGATCTATGAAGTATTAGAAAGGTTTTGGATGGATTAACTTGAACAAAATCGCAGCAAAACAAACAATCACAAGTTAATGCCAAAACCAAATATAAACGTAAAACTTACGAAACCAGAATAGATCATCGATGCCTTGATGATTGAATATGATCTTTATCACTTAAATATATTGTTCACAAGGTGTAGCTACAACACCCCTTATAAATTTCTCACGAAACCCTCTCTAATATGGGAGTTCGTAGTACGCGCGTACGCGCCGCGAGCAGAACTAGCGCGCACGCGGCACACGTTTTCGGAAGGACGCGGTAGCCTTACTAACTCTGTTAGTTAAAGATAATGATGGTAATTAACAATAGATTTTTTATTTTATTAGGAGAGTTTTTTTACTAATAGATTGAAAAAAAATAAGTTACATTTGAAAACTTTTGACTTAAGATTTAAACTTTGAACTCAAATTTTGAAAACTTTCAACTCAAACTTTGAAAAATTTCAATTTGCAAGAAAATTTTTTAAAACTTTCAACTCAAATTTGAAAAGTTTCAACTTGAGATTTGAAAACTTTCAACTCGGATTTGAAAACTTTCAACTCGAGATTTGAAAATTTTTAAATTAAGATTTAAAAATTTTCAAGTCAAGATTTAAAAACTTTTTTAAAAAATGAAAACACTTGCTACTGGAAGATTAAAAAGTAATCAGGAAAAAAAGCAAAAGAAAGCGGAAAAAAAAGAAAACAGCGGTGGTTAGATTTCGTGTGCGCGCCGCGTGGGCCGTATGGGCCGGGAGTGCGCGCTGCCGGCGCGCGCGTGCGAATTAGGATTATCACTCTAATCTCTCAAACTTGGCTTACCTTAAGGCATAACCTCCATCTCTATTTATACCAAGAACCTTCAACTTCAACTTAAAGGACGTGTAAAACTCCATTTCACGATATTACTCAATCCATCATATTTCTTTTTCTCCAAAACCGCAGCCGGACTTCCATTCGGACTCCTGCGAGTCCTCGCGTGGGCCGGCTCGGACCAGGCCGACCGCTGCTGCTCCCTAGCCGACTCGGTTTACTAACCAACCGAGCCAACCGAAACCCGTGCATGCAAGCTGACGTCAACACACACCTACATGCATCAACATATGCATACTGCTCGCCACCAGCCCGGACACAGTGCACACACATATGCATGCCATGCTACAGTACCGCGAGAACTGTAGCAATCACTCAATTTTTCTTCCAGTTTTCCTTCGCGAACGCCGACGCTTGCACGCACATCTCGTGAAACCCGTTGCGAAGATCTCTCTCACACGATATCCATCCATCGTGTGCCATCTCGCATTAGTACCGAAACCATCATAGGTGCCGGTTGGGAACGGGCTATAGGTGCCGGTTTTTCAATCGGCACTAATACAAGAAACCGGCACCTATGTGGAAAAATAGAACCGGCACTATTAGCTTTGCTCGAGCAAAAAAAAAAAAGAGAGACGGCTCGAATCGAGCTAAACTCACCAACCACACACCACCATTGTTGTCATCCTCCCTCGAGCCCAGCACTACTCCCCTTCATCACCGTCTCTCGGATCCGAGATCAAAATCAACAACAAACTAGTATATGCATGGTACAAAGCATTAAGAACTCAACAAGTTTGGGACTAGAACTCAACAAGAACTCAAGAACACAAGAACTCAAAAAGAAAAAAAATCAAGAACTCATGCCGGGGCCGCCACCTCGCCCGCACCATCGGCGTCCTTCTCCACCCCTGTCGCCGTCGCCGCATGGGGATGGCATGGCCACCACCGTTGCTGAGGTGCGCCGCAGATGCCTCCGCCAGGCAGCCGTCGGTGCGGGAGCCCGCCGCATCCCCACTTCCTGCCCCACAGGCTCCCCTCTCGCCGGATCTAGCGGAGGGGAGCCCGCCGCCATTGCTCGTGGGGTGCCCGCCGCCGACCACGGAACCCGCCGCGAGGGGAGGGCGCTGCCGCATCCGCTAGGCCAGCTACCAGCCGCAGGGCCCGCCGCCTTCGCCGGGCAACCACCGTGAGAGAGAGAGAGAAAGGGAGGAGGGAGGAAGAGAGACGCGAGAGCAGAGAAACGAGAGAAAGAAGGTGGATGGATAAGGGTTGACGGAGAAACGAGTAGATAATAATGATGCGCGGTGGGTGCGGTGCTGATGGGCTTGGCTCAAAGCTATAGGTGCCGTTTTTTTAAAAAAAACACCGGTACCTATAATATATTATAGGTGTCGGTTCTTTTAAAAAACCAACACCTATAGTATATGTGTCGGTTTTTTTGTTAGAACTGGCATAGGTGTCGGTTTTATGTTTTTTCATCGTAGGGAGGTGGGAAAAGCTACATTGGTATCGGTTTTAAATGAACCTTGCACCTTGAGTCGTTGTCTATGAGGGTTTTTGTAGTACTGTCGTATCCAACTTCGTCACCCGGCATTCTTAACCGTCTGGACCTCAACTCCTTATTGAGTCTAGTTCCGATCCCCACCGTTGACTGAAATTGTCCTTCAAGAATCCTGACTCTCTTACCTTCTCACATGGTATCCCGATCGCACTAGACCTCTGCTCCTCCCTGAGATAGTCCCGGTCCTCACCATTGACCAAGACTAACCTCAAGTCACCTGCACACAATTAGATAAAACAATCGAATTAGATAAAACAATCGTTCCTGAGTACATATATCATAACCTGACCCACATTAATCACACGCACTCACACAAACATCCACACATAATTCCAAACCACTTCATTGATTAAATCATTTACAAAGTCAATTTGTTCATCATAAATATTAATCATGACAATGATTTCACATGATAGGTATCTAATTAACCCTTAGGAAAAATTAGTACAGTTTTTCGGGACAGAAGGAGGATGTTCTAATCTATTCCATCGTACTTCGTGCGAGTCTTCAGAAGAAAGGTGTACGTGAGTGACGTTTGACCTATGAATGTTCTAATCCAATCATAGAATTATTGTATAGAGTTTTGGTTTATACCCAAGCAGAGAAATGAATAGTTTCATGAACTCCATCAGTAGGGGTGGGCGTTCAGTTTACTCGGATAAATTGGGTCGGTTTCTTCAGTTTTCTCCTAGATCGGTTTCTCTAAAACACAAGCCGAGAAAAGTTACAAAAAATAAAACCGACCCGAATAAACCGAAGAAAATCGGTTCGGTTTTTACGGGATTCAGTTTTGACCGCGCGGATGCGCCGATACCACTCGATTCGAAGGCACTGAGCAGCGGCGTCGACAAGTTCTGACACTGCCGCCAAGTGCCCCTTCAACCAGAGCTTCTGCGCTGCCGCCGAGTCCTCCGCAGACCAGCTCTAGCGCTGCCATGGAGTAAGCCGCTCTGACGAGCGCCAGTGCTCGCCATCCTGCTAGCTGCGCGCTCCCGCTCCGCTGCTCGTGTCGCAGGCTCCGCCCCTCAACGTTTTTGCTTGCTCCGCACTTCCGAGAGGGATTAGTGCAGCGACTCCCTAAATATCGAGAGAAGTTCAGCATGCCTTTCCATGAGATTGTGGTTGACTGGTTCTGGTTGGGAAAAAGTACACCGAAGTTCTCTCAATTTGTCATCAGTATAAAAAACATCCTCGAACCACAAAACCAGATATACGGGGTC